AGCCTTTGTAGAATAATTCATTTTTTCGTGTTTTTAGATTTCACCAGTAGGGGATTAATGTCGGCTTTACAAGCTGAGTATCTTGTATATAATTTTTTAACCACGGACGTGTAGGGTTACATCTGTATTGTAATTTAAAATCCACTTACCATAGCACTTTTGAAATATAATAAATACAACACACACGTTAGTTCTGATTACGTGATACTTTCAATCTCAGTAGTAAAAACGCTTCATCCCCCATACATTATGGTCTTTTATTTAGTTCTACACGTTCAAACAATGGCGTTTATTAGCGTTAAAAACGTTAATGAGGTGAATCTTACATAATTCGGGAAATCAAGAGATCACATATATAAAGTTTCAAAAATAGTTTTCTAATAAATTAAGAAACCGCTAACATTTAAGCGCAATGTTTTCAGAGTTAAATAAAATTCGTTCAGACACCACTTGAACCGGTTATGCGTTTCCTCGAGTATACTTGCTTTATCATGAAAGGCCGTTTTCCTGGATATAATCACCCAGTGGTGTCTTAGCACGAGTAACAAAACTCATGTACTTAACTTATTATGTGTGTGAAGGGAGGAGAGAAATACCAACAGTATTGTTCAGGGTATTTTCTGTGTATGGTAATGAAGATTACTCCTCCAAATAGATTAACGAGTTTACAGGCAACAAAAGAGGACCGTTATACTAATGATTATTTTAAAAGATAAACGTAGAAACCTTCTTAGAAAGCAGGTTTGGAAAGAAGGAAACCTTGGCCTACTTGAAAAAGTTGTGACAAGGTCAGGTCTTTGGCACGTAGCCTAAAACATTCAGACATAACTGGCGTCAGTGAAGTCGACCATAGAAGTTCCAGGATGCAGAAAAAGAGACCAGGTAGAATGAGGTAATCAATTTTTATTTTTGCAGTTCGATTTTTTACTGACACGACTATTGCTATCGTGCAACAGCCGAAGATCTTCACTAATTATAAGTCTCGTGAGATCTAAAAACGACACTGACAAAACTCATCATTATCTTATGACCTTTCTGATTTGCTTCGTGGACGTCTTGTAAGAGCTTCCACCTCAAAGTTCGTCTTCCACGAGCAGGGGCGTCCTTTGCTACGAAGTAAGGGGGTGCAATTTACCCCAACCCTTTACGAGATACAGTACAATCACATCTAAGATGATCGAAGTTTTCTTCACAAACGTACAAAAGAAGAAGAGTACCCCTCCCCCACGCCTCCTCACGATTATTTACTGAACTAACACCACAAGTATCAAATACAAAACGTGCCGTCTTTCACAACAGTTACTCCAAGTATTGAATGAATTAATCACGATGGTACTGTAACAATGATAAATACAACATAACATGAATCAGCAGGAAGGTTGTGTACAGTTCACAAAATTACAATACACATGATACAGACTACCACGATAGAGAATTTACACCCTAATCTGACGGTTTGAATTAGAACCACGTAAAATGTATCAACTTAATTCCTTCATAC